CCTGTGCGGAGGAGTCAGGCTGAAGCCCTGTGACATTCACCTTGGGTAGCTGTACCAGGGAAATATACTTCAGTCAAGAAAGGGAGGAATTCCAGGCTCTGTGGGGAATCTAAATACAGACCGGACCCCAAATGAAATGTGACGCAATGACCCCACCCCAGATAGCTGCCCGAAGGCCCAGGAAGGCCTAGCAGAAGTGATGACTTTGTATTAAGAAGATATACTTCAGTTAAGAAATGGAAGATTAAAGACCATGCCAGGGGTCTAAATATAGACTTGAGTCAGAATAAGATTGAGGCCACGCCCCATGCCAAGACGGAGAAAGCCCACACAATACCCCACCCCACCCCCTGTAGTCAGCTTTGGAAGCCCAGGTAGGTTGACAGAGTTACATCCCCCAGCTCCCACCTCAAACACTGTCAGTTAAGGCCTTGGACTTAAGGTACAGCCTGAGGGAACAGAGGGAGAAGCTCAAGTCCAGCTAGGAGTCAAGGGATGGACTGTGAGGATTGAGGACAGTCCCTGCTTCAGAACAGAGGGGTCCCCTCAGAGACCTGCCCATGCTGTCTGTCCTGGGACATGCCAGGAATGAGATGGTCAGATGTTGGGAGGAGATTTATGACTTGGGTGGGGTCTGTGGCAGATGAAGGCTTAGCGGTAGTCTCTGTTCAGTGGAGGGAGGCCTCCCAGGCCTTGCTGAGTGTCAAGGTAAGACAGTGAGTGGACTGAGGTGTTCACTGGCCCTAGAAGAGAGGGGAGACAAATTCCTGTAATCTTCCTGCTTTCTACTCTGGTAAGCCCTGAAATGCTCTGTCTCCTGAGGGACTCCATTGCTTCTTCCTTGAGAATCTGGAGAAGGTGCCTGCCCTGGGTGGAGGGGATACCCACCAGGTCTACAAAGTGGGGAGCCCCAGGGCCTGCGAGTAATCAATGTAAGGATCCGGATTTAGGTGTGTAGGAACCACCCACCCTAGGGGATGCTCACTAAGAGTCTTGTCTGCCCCTGCTGTTAGCGCTGGAGTTCTCCAACCAAGGATTTCCGGCTAAGGTGACCCCCATGTCTTCCTTGGGGTCTCAGGGAAGGCAAGCCTTTACTCTGTAGGTCACATCAGGTCAGCGAAGGAGGACTCCAAAGCACATCCAGGAGTGATTTTAAAAATCCCAAGTGAGGTCTGAGGGGACCACCCACCCACAAATGTGTGGTCCCAAAGACCACTAGGAGCCCTGGGAGCCAGATAGCCTGAAGTGGATGGAATGGATGACCCCTCCCTTCTTCACACTTCTTACAGATCACATTGTGAGTGTGCAATATTAGGACAACTGAGGGAGGAGCCAAGATCTTAGATCAAGGTAAGACACTGAGTTGGGACTGTGGGGCCACCCATCACAGAACTTCAAGAGCCACACAGAGTTGTGCTCTGCTCTCAGCACTTTCTCCGGGTGGTCCCAGGTCAGGGAAGACTTTGGTTTGAGTAGGCAACATGAAGTCAGAAGGAGTGATCCCAAGCCCTGCCAATAGTCAGGGTAAGTAATGTGAGTTGGGAATAAGGGGATCACCACTCCAGAAAATTCTAGTCCCACAAACCATTTGGAACCCATGCAGACACTGGGCAGAGATGGCCCGATAAGATGCCCTTTCACTCTTCCACCATGGTCACATGGAATTGAGCCTTATTGTGAGTGGGCAACTTCAAGTCAGGAGATGGTTTCAGGAATAGCCAGAGGTAAAGAAAATAGAGTTGGGACCTCACAACACAGAACAGACTGGACCAACAGATTAGAAGCTGTCCCTGCCTTCATCCCAGCATGCCCTGGGCAGACTGATCAGACTGATGTAACTTGTCACTTCCAAGTAATGTGTCTGAATGAGATGTTGCCCTCGTTTTGATGAGATATGCCTCAACATAATGGGGGCTTGGGCATTCCCAACCTTTGTAGGGGTCCAGGTGAAGATGTTGAGTGAGGACCAATGGGATCACCTCCTGAAAGTAGAAAAGATAGGACAGATTAGAACCTTGATGTCAGCCTGGAATGGCCCTAGGCAGGGGATGCCAGAAACGATGTCACCTGTATTCTGTTTTAGGCGTCTAAGGGGAGTGATCGCCTTAGTCTGGGGTTGAAGACTATGTCGGTAGTGGGTGGAGTATCAGACCCTCCTAAGTATCAAGATAAGACACTGAATGGGGACTAAGGGGCCTGCAACCGAAGAACAATGGAGACACAAAGAGTCCTGCTCTGCCCCAGTTATTGGCTACAGGCAGCAATTGTTAGAGTTGTCAGCATGAGGGGTCGATTCACTTCTTCCTCAGGGATATCCTTGTGGAGAAGGCTTTTGTCTGAGAACTAGATATTAGGTCAGCAGTAGAAGTCCTATGTCTGCCGGGTGTCAAGGTAAGGATCCTGAGTAGAATCGGAGAGTACCAGCTATCCTAGAAGAGATGGGCCACAGCATCTAGCCCCTGTGTCAACCCTGGTAATCCTTCATGGAGGGTGGCTGTATGGGATTTCTCCTCACTTTCTCCTATGATTTCTAAGAGAGGTGAGGCCTTGATCTGAGAGGGGTGGTTTCAGGTCATCAGAGGCAAAAAGGGCCTAGTTCCTATCACATAAAAGACATGAATGAGAACAGAGGGGAACATCCAGACTAAAAGCAAGGCAACCACAGAGTGTCTCACACTGCCTGCCCTACTATAATCCATGGAAAGCCTTGAGCTGAGTTGGATGGCTGCCCGAGCAGAAATCTCATTTCCTCCTTCATGGTACTATGGGGAATAGGAGTTCTGGTGACATAGTGGTTAACGCATTCAGGTGCTAAACAAAAGGTTGGTAGTTCAATCTGAACAGCTGCTCCATGGGAGAAAGTTGAGACAGTAGCTTCCATAAGGATTTACAGTCTTGGAAATATTTGGAGCAATTCTACTCTCTCCTGTCGGGTCACTGTGAGTCAAAATCGACTCAGTGGCAGTGGCTACTACGGGAAAGGCTGACTAGGAGGACAGGAGACCTGTGAGACCCTAGAGCACTATTCCTCAACAAGGTCTGATAGAGATCACCTTTGTCAAAATGGCCAGATTTTAGCTTGCCATCTTAGTTGGCACATATCTTTCCTCTCTCCTTTAGGCTGTGGGCCTGCTTTTTCTGCTCTTCTGCACCAAATCGTGTCTTCGGCCACCTGGAGAAGTTAGTCATCATGCCCAGCCAAAAGCAAGCCCCCAACTTCTCCACTGAAGAATGCCTTCCTATCTTCCCTGAGTTCCAGGACCTGGATGATATACTGTTCCTTGAGGTTGTGGATGATTTCTCTCCCCCCCCCCTCCTCCTCTTCCTCCTCTTCTCCAATCCCCATCAATGAGGAGGAGCATGCTACTGTAGAGACAGTCAGTACTATTCAGGTTCCTCAGAGTGAGTGTGGCTCTTCCACTGCTATGACAGCCACCTCAGAGATGACATTGGATGAAGACCATAGTAGCCAAGAAGATGGAGCTATCACAAGTGCCTCACAGTTTCTACCAGATTCTGAATATTGGCCCACAAACCCAATTGATGAGAAGGTGGCTCTGTTGGTGAATTTTCTGCTATTCAAGTATCAAAATAGGGACCCGATCGCAAAAGCCGAGATGCTGGATATTGTCATCCAAGAGTATGAGGACCACTTTCCTGAGATCCTCCTGAAAGCGTCTGAACGCATAGAGATGCTGTTTGGCCTTGATGTGAAAGAAGTCGACCCTCTCAACCATGGCTACATCCTCGTCATTAAACTGGGCCTCACCTATGATGGGAAGCTGAGTGACACAGAGGGCATGCCCAAGACTGGCCTCCTGATTCTTATGTTGGGTGTGATCTTCCTGAATGGCAACCGCGCCACTGAGGAGGAAGTCTGGCAAGCACTGAATACATTGGGTGTATATGCTGAGCAGCATCACCTGATGTTTGGGGATCCCAGGAAGCTCGTCACCGAAGACTTGGTGCAGGAAGAGTACCTGGAGTACCGGCCGCTGCCTAACAGCGATCCTGTGTGTTATGAATTTGTGTGGGGTCCGAGGGCCCACGCTGAAATCAGCAAGATGGAACTCCTGGAGTTTATCTGCAGAGTCCATGAGG